TCTCTCTCTCTCTCTCTCTCCTCGTCTGTATCTTTTGATTATTTGTTATGATTTTTTTCCATTATTTAATATTTTGTTGTAATAACCAGTTATTGTCATTAGAAATATTGACAAATAAACAAATGAATCACTATTTCATTGATTCGTAAATTTGGTTCAAAACAGTTCATTGTTTTAATTGTAATCTTATTTTTCTTTTAATAACGGTTTCAACAAAGTTTTCAAAAATACAATTAACTAATTATTATATTAATAGCAAGTATTTAATGTACAGTAATATTATGTGTGTTAAAAATAAAATACAAAATCTTGGTTAAAAAGTAAATTTACCAAAATTATAATTATCATAGCATTATTAAAAGTGGTTTTTAATTTAAAAAACTTGACATACGCTCGGATTTAACTGACGAGTTATTTGCTTTTATGTGCAAAAGTCATACAATAAGCAAATTATAACTTTATTTTTGCCACGAATTTCTAATCCAAACAACAAATTATAAACTTTTTTTTTCTTACAAACAATTATCTGACAAAAGATTTTTTATTTTATGACAAAACGATTAAAGTTTTTCCACACAATTATCCCTTTTTTGATACAAAACTATTGAAAACATGTGTGAAAATGGCTCTCAAAATAGATTTTATTTATAATTTATGATCAACTTTTATTATTTTTGTTTAATGTCTGTAAAATAAACAATAATTTAAAGTTATTAAATATTAAACAATCTTATAATTAAAACCCAAAAATATTTATAATTGTTTTAAAAGAACTCTAAATTATTTCATTATTAAATTACAAGATTAGGAAAATTTCTAATATTTAATGTCAATCCTATTGTATGGATGTCTGAACTTTTGAACTGCTATTTTCTCAATTGAAATCGCATTTAAGTATTTAATAAATCAAAACCAATACAATAATTGTTGATTATATAAACATAATTCATATGTAATATATTAATAATTTCTGGTTTATCTACTGATACATGATTTTGTCAAAACATTTTGATTTCTGATTAACTCAATGAATAGTCGGTATACCAGTAGTCACTTCAATAGAGTATCCATTAGTCGGGAATTATTATATAATGTAATCATAAATCTAACAACAATATGATTGTAGACAATAATATACTTATGAATGCATTTTTAAAACGCAAAATAATTGGAGGAAAATTGGTTGGGATTTCTAAAAATCCCAACAAATAAAAAGTTTTTTGAATTACTTATGTATTTAACTTAAATAATTTAAGTATAAATTTTGAATTTCCTTATTTGTATAGAGCATATTATTATTTAATTTTTACCGTAATATTTTATGTTTACTTATAACATAAATCCAATGCATTATTTAATGCACGGCAATTCATAATTTATGATTCATAACTTTAATTCTGTAATTAAATAATTATAAATAAAATCTATTTATTTTTTACAAAAAAAAAACAAGATTTTTATGGAATATGGTTTAAATATACCTTAAATTCATTACATTTATTGCTTATTAAAACACATTTAAAAATGAAATAAATGAGAATTTATTAAGTTATAAATTTTTAATTACATTAACAATTCACTACATGTTATAACGAGATTAAATACAAACTAAAAAGCCATTACTCGAGTATTGTCTTGCCGTCGGAAGTGCTAAACTTTCCCTTAATGTGCGAATTCAGCCAACCGTCTTGCATGCGGTCGAGATCGGGCGCCGGCGGCGGTATGAAAGCGCCGGCACAGACGCGATGGTCGACACACAGGAAGTTATAGGTCGTGATGGCGTGCTTTGTGGGCATTATCTCCACATTGATCTTCTTGGAGGACAGCATTGTCCGCACGCGTCGATTCAGTGCACTCGACATCTGATTCGTGGGGTTATCGTCGCCGACGCCGATCACCAGTGTTTCCAATCGGGGCTCGACTAACGTGAACAGCGACAGCGACTTCTCGTCGATGTCGTCCACGGATCTGATGTCCCATTGGAGGACAGTTGAGGGGAAGAGAGCGATGGGTCCCATTGCGAACTCCCCATTGGACAGCCGGAAGCCGTGTCGGGCGTAGGCGTCCACCAGAAGGTAACCCATGAGGTCTTTGTTGACAATCGTAACTGTGGTCTTGCCGTCGCCCTCGTAAGAGCCGCCGCCACCCATTGTGGGCCCCGATTCCCACGACCCGTGCCTTTTGGCCACACCTGTGAGGGCTGACCACCGGTGGCCGCACTGTCTGGCCGTAAAGGTTCGGCCAAACGCTCGCAAACACATCATTGAACACATGGTTTGCAAACAATTTGAGATTTGTTTTGAATTTTTGGCCCAAAAATTGTTTGATAAATACAGACGTTATTAATGTGCGAATCGTTTGGCATTTCATACAATTTAAATGCTGTTATATTTTGTATGATTTGTTAATTAATTAATTAATTTAATTATAAGTGTTTTAATATAAACGTCGATTGAATGAGCGTTTAATTACATATTTAATTCATTCATAAATCAGTAAAAAGTGTTATTTAATTAAAATAATTATTTTAATAGTGTTTACAATAATCCCAATGAGATGTCACTCAATGTTTAAATGGCATAAAGTTTTTTGCAGTGTTTGTGTGAAAAACCATATGTTTTGCATGTATTTAAAAATTTTCAATTAAAATGAATGTGAACTATATTTTTGACAATTAAATCACAATTAAAATGAGTTTATAATTGAATTAATAATAATATTAATCAACGTTTAAATCATTTTTTCTCACGATTTTGTATCGGAAAGGAAACTAATATAATATGAAAACAATTACATTGGATGTGAAAAACGGTGTAATAATTGTGCGAAAAGTGATGTGAATATGTGGTCAACACGTGTTGCAAATGCATTGAAGGCTAACACTATTACCGAGTTTTTTAAATTGTAGTTTCAATTAAACGAGACATTTGTTGATTGCAATTAATAACATGTATAATAATTTAGTTTTAAATGATATGAACTTATAATACAATTTAAAAGAAAGAGTTGTTTTGATTTGTTTTGTTGTCTTCATTATAATCAGCGAAATATTTATTTCTTGAGTTAATTATACGCTCTTTAATGAGAAAATGGTTTTTCTCCAGTAATTGAAAAAAGTTTATTTTATTAATTATACATATAATTAAAGCGTTTATTTAATAACTCATTATAAGTGTTTATAAGAGTATCATATTTTTTAATTGTATTTTAACCTCATTTGCGAAAAGACTACTTCTTTTCAGTAATTAATTGTAGTTAACATTTGAAACACAAATCCCATTGTATTTGCCGTTTGTTTGCCAATCACTTGAAAGCATATGGTTTTGTACAATGAGTTCATCATTAATACCGAAAGACAACCACTCGTACAATAGCGTCGACTATTGGGACAAACGGTACTCTAGTGTTGGCCAGGGATGTGATGGTGAGACTCGTGAGTACGACTGGTTGGTCGGCTGGACAGACATCCGACACATCGTTGAGAAATGTGTGCCAAAGTCGGCCCAAATACTAATGTTGGGTAAGAGTTACGGCCATAAAGTCTTATGGATTGCTAGCGATTGCAAACGTGAACTTCAAATACACTGTATTTATAGTATATATTGAGTATACGATTGGGAGATACAAATGATAGCATAAATACAATAATTATAAACCCATTTGAATGAAATTAATGGAAATGATTTGATGGAAAAAACAGCAACAAATTTAACATAAATATAGAGATTTATATACGAAATAAGTCCCAAAATAAGTAATATATAAAATACTGCATAAGATATGCAATGAAACAAGTTTTTCACTCTTAAATAATAGTTATTATGCGATGAATAAAACAAATAACAAAAATTTGTTCATTAAATAATTATTACAAACGGGACTCTCGAGTCTTGGGCACAATTTTAACATAATTTTCTAATAAAATACACTTATTATAAACTCAAACAAAAATAACAATTTTAAATATTAAATAAAAAAGCTTACGATTGAATCATAAATACATAGATATGTAAGTTATATATACGTTATAAACAGCTTTTTAGGCCACAAAAGGCTTAATCATCTCAAAAATTGGGAGACATTTCGTTACTTAAAAGCATTAAATAATTACAAGAGATTTTTGCGCAAAAAATGAAATAAAATGTGAAAATTTTTACTTTTTCAATGCTTTTCTTCTCCCTTTAGTTTATGTTATGGAAAAAACTATTAAATATTTCTTATCTAAAGATTATTCAGTATTTAATAATTACTAAAAACTTTTTATATTATTAAATATAATAATGACTTTATATTCATTTAGTGTAGAATAGCCCACAAAAAAACTTTTTATTTCTTTTTCTCTGAACCAAAATCTCTTTTTAAAAAGTTTTTCAAAATAAAAATTGGAGTAAAAAACGATAATAAATTGTTTTTTGATTATTAGTTTTCATAATACGATAAAAACAGTATTAATATTAATAATTTAAAAATTTTACTTTGATTTCAAAAACCCAAATCATATTTTAAAAGTTAGTATTTGTTTCTATATTTGCCGTTCAATGACTAACACATAAATTATAATTAGTTTTGATTTTTTATTTCGTTAAACACTATAATTGAGTGGAAAACAGTTCCCCTAAACTAAATGAAAAATAGGTTTTTATTAATTTTATTTATTTTTGTTACTCTATTTCTCTCCCAATCTCTTATGTATCGATTTTTACACAACGACTGCCCAAAGGCTGCGGTAATAGTCTATTAAGTGAACAAATGTTTATCGATGGCTATCATAACATCCATAATATCGACTATTCCGCGCCTGTAATCAAACAGATGTCCACTCATTGCCAGTACTGCTCACGTATGAAGTGGTCAGTCATGGACTGCTTGGACATGAAGTTTGAAGACAATTCATTTGATGTGGTGCTGGAAAAGGCGACGATCGACGCTCTGCTCACCAAAGAAACCAATCCATGGCATGTCTCGCAAGAAAGTAGGGATCTATTGACTCAAATCATGAGCGAAATGTCTCGTGTGTTGAAACTTGAGGGTCAGTTCATATCAATTTCCTTCTATGGCTCACACTTTAGATATCCATTGTATAAGAGCTGTTCCGATGCCCTGAAATGTGAGTCTAGATTCTCAATGAAAGCAATCGATGAATTGGGCACTAGTTTTCATTATTATTGCTATTCACTCGTCAAAAGTGCGGACAAAACAATTGAATTGGAGGCCAAAGTATACGAACCGCCGAAAATGATTTCTGGTTTGAATAGCAGTGAATCCATACAAACAATAGATCAGAGTTTAGACACCACTGAAGTTGAAGAGCACAATAACTATCTCTTCAATATTAACCTCTAATATACTCTTCACAATACAATACACTAATAACTGCTACTCTTTGTTATAATGAACTCTCTCTCTCTCTCTCTCTCTCTCTCTCTCTCTCAGGAATTTCTAAGCAATTATTGACTATTTCTATCAAAACACTGCTTATAATGGGATTTGAAGTGTAATTTTTGTCATTCTTATGATTGAGTTATCAAAATATTTTTCTAATCAATTGTTTTTATCCAAAAATCTATACAAGAATTTTCTAGATTTTAACATATATTTGATATGAGATTCAATTTGTTTTATTTTTATTAAATGTTTAAAGCATTTGTTTTAATATGTTTTTTATTCATTTTATACTTTAACTTATTTTTAAATATATATATTTTTAATGCATTAATCATTTTTATTTATTAAATGCTACAAAATAATAAAATAACATTCAAATTCAAATATCTTTATGCTTTTTCTTCTTTATATATATTTATTTATATTATATATAAATTATAAAAATTTCTATTTATATAAAAAGACTTATTTATTGTTCTAATTGTTAAAACTATTGATACATTTCGGTCACAATTTTGTCGGTCAGTCCTTATTGTTATGATTATTGGATTTCTTGGACTCTCTCTTATATAAGGGCGAGAATACAGGCGACGGACACGTGTTGTCGAGTGAGTCGAGGGAACACAAGTCAGGCATCGATTTATTGAGATACCATTCCTGTGCGTACGACCCGATTCGGGTCAGACCATTGAGGTTACGGACAATCGGTTGAGATTGGCTTTCGATACTCCAAACCGATTGACTTTGAGAGCCAAACGAACCGCTATTAGTTTTTGACGACAAATTGTTCGCCTTTTGATTGTGTGCTAAATCTCTGGCTTTTCTCGACTTATGACCGTTTTGTTGATTATCTTCTCGTTTGCTATTTTGATACTTTTTAGTCCGAGTCCTGGGCTTACGATTAGCCCTATTATTGATGTAAGCGTTTTGGCGAATCACAGCCAATGAACTATTATTACCATTGGGTTTATGTTTGATAACATTTGCCAATTTTGAATGAATGTCTGCATTATTATTGTGATTAGCGTTGGAGTCGGAACTGGTATTGCTCTCCAGGCTATCGCTGCTCTGTGTGCGATAGAGTTGGCCCCCTTTGCCGGTGCCGTACCGCTGGCCACCCATACGATGCGATGGCTGACCCCCTATACCAACACCACTGCCGGCGCCCACCACTGATCGCCTATCGTTGTGCTCATCGATTCTGGTCAGTGAACCCGAGTGTTGTCTATTCGTCGACGAAATCAATAGATTTGTTTCGCTCAGAGTTTTTCTCGGATGCGCTGAACGACCGGTTGTGTCAACACTTAGTCGACTATCAATGGCTGAGCGCTTACTTTTCACACCATTTATACCAATGTATTGATTGTTGTGATTGTAAAGCATTGAAGGCATTGAATAAATATTTGAATCGATTTTATGTATGTCTGAAGTGGAGAACGATTGACGACCTTTTCGTTTATAATAGGCATTACTTGCCATCGATTTGTGAACAATAGAGCTGTCATTCCTCTGCACATAATTAATGGCCGAAACCGAAGAACTCAAGTGATGTGCGGATGGGTTGCGCCAACTGCTCAGTGGTGTGACTCCTGAGCCGCGGTTGGGCCGGGCGTTGACGGCGGCCGCAGCGCTGTTCGTACGGCCCGCAGGACTCGTACGCTTTGTATGGCTATTATTGTTATCGCATTCAAACGCTAAGTTGTCGTAGATATGGCTTTTGTCGATCGGCTCGTCCATCGAGTACGAGCCCATCGATGAGGTCGTGTCCACTGAACTGCTGTCCACGCGATCGTCGCTCTCGTCGTTAAGCGTGCGCTCAGTCGTGGTCTGAGTGTCGGAGCCTTTAGTGAACTCGAAGTCGTCGTTCGCTAATGTGGTGAACGACACGCCACTCATTGACAGGCCGTCGACACTACCGGTGCCGCAGCTCTTCGCACAATTGGGCCCCGAATTGAAGGCAGATATCGGCGACGAGTTTTGCATATTTGGCTCATTAGACAAACTGGAGATCGCATTCCTCTCCATCTGATCGACCGTTTGGTCGTTTAGTTTTTGTAACTTTTGCTGTAATTGTCTTTTGTCGGGAAGAGTGGACCGAACGCTAAACGTTTCGGAAAGAGTGGCGTAAATGTGATCGTCGTTCGCATAATTATTGTGACCTTTCGGACACTTTCCGTCCATTAGATTAATGTTTGCATTGAGTTGTTTGTAATCATAATGTTTGCCACTATTGGACGAATACCACACTTTACTCTCACTGACAATCTGTTTGTGTTTGTCGTCCAACGGATTATTGCATTCGGCGGTCAACTGTTTGCCGATAGAGCCGTCAGAGCCGGCGAACGTCGACAGAGTTGTACTGTTTTTATAGGTGTGGGCGTAAGGGTTGGCCAGAGAGTGGCCGCCGTCGTGACTACTGGTGCCCGTATTGTATTGTA